CTAGATGTTTTTTGCAGTGTGGGAATTAGATTGATGGGACTAGTTTGATTCTGTATATTTGGATGGTTCTGGGTTTTCTAAATGATCAGAGATCACGGTTCCCCTGAACAAACCGCTCGCTCCTCTGTTTTAGACCTTTAAAATTAGAGATGAAGACTTTATTTCACTTTAACAAATCTCTGCTTTGAAGCCTGATTCAGTCTTTTGGGGATGAGAGTAAAAACGTAGCAGTAATAAAAAAGAACAAAGACTCGGATGAAGTGAAAGTGTAACAATATAAAGATAAAATGCTGTTTGGAGAAGATTGAAGATTTTTTTTTTGTATATTTATGGGGCTGCTGCCTGGACTTTGTTGCACCAACAGCTCCTCTGTTGTGGGTCACCGTTTCTTGTCTGTGTTTCTGTTTTCTGCAGCTTATCCAGGATTATTGGCTTATCCAAAGTGAGCTTTGTTGGGCTCAGAAACAGGGTGGGCCATCATGAAAACAGTCAAAGTCAGCCGCCGCGGTGCAGCCTCAGAAAGGACCCGGGTTTACGGCTCTCAAGACGTCTGGATAAGCCTCCCGAAAAGCTGCTCCGTCTGATGGTTACCAGTTAAAGAGGTTATCTTTAGGAAAGGTTTCCCAAAATGGGTTTGCCAGTTAAACGGAAACACCATCTGGCTGAAACCTGCTGGAGATTTGATGCAGCAGATTTCAGTGTCAATCTGTTGTCATACAGAACCTGCAGCGACTGCAAACAGAGCTCTGCGTGTGTCGCTGAATGCAGCTCAACATTATTTACTGTAAACACAGCCTTAACACATAGAGGTCTGAAGGTCAGACCCAAACTCCAAACTGCACAAAGAGGTCTAAAGGCTGTGGCTCGGTTTCAGTTCTGCACAGAATCTGGTCTGGGAGACGTTCAGGCATTGGTTATAAGCCAGGAGGTTCAGAAATAATAAACTGAAGCAGCTGTAAGGCACGATGGTGGCAGCATCATGCTGGGAGGCTCGATGCTGCAGTATTACCTCAAGCTTTATCAACATCTTCAGCGGCTAAATGACAGAATCTGGATCTGGACCTCAGCTGCTGATCTAGCAGGATGATGGTCCCAGACTGGATGGAGACGCTGGAAAGAACCAGAAAACTGACTCTACTTTAAAGTCGGGTCTGAACCGAAACCGCCGAGTTTAAAGGAAACGTCCGGTCAGCAAAGAGAACTAATACTTTTGCGGTGATTTAATGAATTTAGTGTTAATCAGTAAAAAAATCAAAACAATCATTTTTGTTGTGATCCCTGAGTCTGGGAGCGGCCATCTTTGCCCAAATCTAGTAGCCCCTCCCTCCTGCCATCTTCCAGCAGTGACGTCACGGTGCGGTTAGCCTAGCGCCATTCTCCCCGCTTTCCAAGCTAAATCAATGGGAACTACTAGACACATCTGCAATCAACAACAATTATTGAAGATTTCCAGAGGACTTCACCATTGAAATTCACCAGAGCTATAGTGAAACTGACAATGCCCACGTGCATGGCAGCTGGATGCTGGAATACATCGGGTAAAAGTGAAAAAAAGAGTTATTCCACCTTTCTGATTCCTGATCCTCCACGGACGGGTTGGTCGTTGGATCGCCAACTTGAAGAGGGAGGATTTGCCATCGAACTTCTGGCCAGAGAAAAAACCCGTAATATGTAGCCAACATTTGGAAGAAGAATGTTTTCAAGATGACTTGGATAATAGCGCGTTGTGACAAACACCAGATACAGCACTGGGACTTGATCAACAGCCGATACCGCACCGTGACAATGTCACTAACCAGTAGGTGGCAGTAGTGTTCTTTGACAAACATGGATGCCTCCAGTAAAGCACATTCACATGAAAATTACTCTGAATTAAAAACACTGATCATTTATTGAACAGGATGTAGGGCCTGCATACACACCCTTACACACACATCAGGTTCAATATATCCCAAATAATACGTGTATTTACTTTGCATACTTTAAAATGAAGAGTTTATTTCCAAAACTTTAATCATCCAGGTCTGTTTGGGGTTTAAAATCGCTTTTTGAGCAGCTGCGATTATTACAATGAAAAAACAATCTAGAAATAAGTAACATTTTCTTAAATTAAGTGTATTTATCCTTAATTTGACTCAGTAAATGAGATTGTTTGCCAGTGGAATGAGTAATTTTACTCTTAAAATAAGATAATTAGATAATATGCACTTTAAATAAGACAATGCAATTGTTTTTTTCTTATTTTAAGTGTAAATTGTCTTGTTTTATCAGTAAAATGTCTCTTTTACCTCTTAAATCCAAGAACAAATGCATTTATTTTCAGAAAAAAATTGACTTATCTAGATTTCTATTTATTCCAGTGTAATTATGTGTGATTTCCTCTGAGCCTACATGTACAATTTAGACGTTTTTAGTAGAAAATCAGCAATATGTTCTCTCCTATGTTCTAGACCTGATCATCCTTTATTGGGCCATAGATGCTTTATCTCTGCAGCCAGTAGGTCAGAGGAAAGGTGGAGCCTGAATGGACAAACATCAACAAACACAAACCTAAGAATAGCTTCATCTCACATGATGACTGTGGAGAACCACACAGGAAAGAATCGAAATCTGGAGAAGTCATTTTTCTTACAATAAGTGCATTTGTTCTTGAATTGAGGAGATAAAAGAGACATTTTGCCAATAAAACAAGACAATTTACACTTGAAATAAGAAAAAACAATTGCGTTGTCTTATTTAAAGTGAATATTATCTAATTATCTTATTTTAAGAGTAAAAACACTCATTCTACTGGCAAACTATCTTAATTACCTACTCAAATCAGCGGAAATACACTTAATTTAAGAAATTTTTACTTATTTCTAGATAGTTTTTCCAGTGTTAAAGCGACATTTTGCCAATGGGACAAGACAATTTAGATTTAAAATAAGAAAACACAATTGCAATGTCTTATTTCAAGTGCAAATTATCGCATTAATTCATTTTAAGAGTAAAAATATTGATTCCATTGGAAAACTATCTAATTTACCTGTTCAGATTAAGGGTAAATACACTTAATATGAGAAATTTTTACTTCCATTTAGATAATTTTTCCAGTGCAGAAGCTGACTTCTTGGGATTCAAACCCAAAACTTTATTGTTAAAAACCCCCCAGCAGTGATTAATAAGCCCTGGTTCAAACCTCTTGCATGCTGGGTAATCACCGCACCCCGGAACCAAACCGCTCAAAATAAATCATGAGGACCTTCCTGGTTCATCTCATTACCTTAATGAACCCGATGGATTCACACACAGACTTTAGACCAGAGAACATTTTCTCCCTTTTTATATTTCATTATTTTCTGCTTAAAGATCCTTAAAATCCTATGAATAGATAGAAAAATAAAAATTCTGTTAGAAAATATTTATTTTTGTCATTTTGGAACAAAACTCAAAGTTTGAATCCTGCTATAAAATCAAACGTGTTTAAAAGAGATGATATTTTGATGCAAGCGAAAAATTAGTTTTTATGTACAACAGACAGTAATAAATAGCTGATTGATTTCTGGGATTATTTTTATCAATAAATCCCCCCAAGTAAAGCTGAATTAATGTAATATATAATAAAAAGTAATGTCCTGATTAAAGAAACAAAAGAAAAGTTTCATATTAGATAATAAAGTACATGATTGACCTGAAGCATAATTCACATTCTGATATTTTCACTAAAATATCCATAAGAGACGCAACAAATAAAACAAGCAGAGCCTTTATTAAAAAAAAAAAAGAAGCAAGCAGATCCAATAAATAAGGATAAATGGGAAAAAAACCCACATAAAATATAAATTTATAGAAAAATGTATAGAAATATTTCCTAAAACAAGCATACATTTTTATACAAATATGAATATAAATTAGATACAATTTAAATCCTGATTAAAAAGGAACATGGTTAGAAAATAAACATTTAATAAAGAAGTTCATAAATGCAATAGTCACATTCTGCTTTTATATTTTATACATCAGCTGGATTAAATAAACATTTACTGTAGATTGTTGTACAATTACTGTATATTCATCGACTGATAAAATAAAAATGGAAGAAATAAAGTCAGAAAAGAACTGCAAAAAGTTATTAAATAAGTAAAGAAAAATAACAACAAAATTTTAAATAAATACAATATTTTGGAAAATGAATGTACAGATAATTAACTCCTATATAAGGAAAAATATGAGTTAAACATCAGAAATAAAACATTTAAAATAGACGGTCTGTTTACCCTGACAGTTACTCGCTCTTCCCGACAGGAGGCGCTCTGGTTACAGCATCAAGTCTCCATCAGATATGTCCAGCGCGCGCGTCTCTGTGCGTAACCGCGGGCTTGTGGAAAAGCGGTGACGCGCTCAGCTGTTCCTCCCCCCTTCTCTTTCTCCCACCGTAAAAACGCGCACGCGGGCGCACAGTGAGCGCGCGCGCTCCGTGTTTGCCCACATGAGTCCAAACTGTTTTCGTCGCTGTGAAAACAAAGTCTGATCTCACCGCCCGCCGGAGCGCAGCTCAGATAAACGCACCGAGGCGCGCTTTTACGCACGGCCTGAAATCTGGATTTTACGCACCCGGAGCGCGGAGCGTCTACACCTGTGCGTAAATACTAAGAGGTGTGTGGGGGGGCAGATCAACGGACGCAGGTTCATGATCAAAGCTCGGAGCCGCGGCAGGAGACGGAGAAGGTCTGCGGTGTGAGCGGGGAGCAGGAAGGAGCAGAAAGAGGAGTTTTGGAGAAGCCCCTCCTCTCCGTGATGTCGGAACCTCCTTAATTACTAATTTCTCCACATTGAAGCCACGCTCTTTCCCTCCCCCTCTTTCTCTTTTCTCTCTCTCCACTCCTCCATCCATGCAGCTCTCATCCTGACCCTCCTTTCTCTCTCCACTGTCTCTCTGTGGTTTCCAGGATTTCGGAGGTGGACGAGCCCGGAGGAGCGCTTCTTTTTTTATTATTGTTTATTCCTGGTCGTTATTTTTTTTAATTTTTTCTTCTTTTTTACTTTTGTTTCCTTTGGGGCCAGCGGGCATGGAGGATGTAAAAACCCCGCCGACCGTCCACCGGTCCTCCTCCTTCAGCATCAAGAGCCTCCTGCTGCCCTCTAAGTGTGAGCGCCCGGACCCGGTGCTCTCTGCCCCCGCCGCGGTGCGCAGCATCCCCGGGACTCTTTCTCCATCACCGGACTCTGATTCGGACAAGTCTCCAGGTCCAACGGAGGTGGACTCCTCCGGGCTGATCGAGGAGAAGGCTGGTAGGGAGGAGCAGGGGGAGCATGAGGAGGAGGAGGACGGAGGAGGAGGCGGAGGAGGGGAGGACTCCAAGCCGGTTTCGGAGCAGAACTCCACCGGGAACAACAACAGCGCGAAGAACGGGAAGTACGACAAGCCTCCGTTCAGCTACAACGCGCTGATCATGATGGCCATCCGGCAGAGCCCCGAGAAGCGGCTGACGCTGAACGGCATCTACGAGTTCATCATGAAGAACTTCCCCTACTACCGGGAGCACAAGCAGGGCTGGCAGAACTCCATCCGGCACAACCTCAGCCTCAATAAGTGCTTCGTTAAGGTGCCTCGGCACTACGACGACCCGGGGAAGGGCAACTACTGGATGCTGGACCCCAGCAGCGACGACGTGTTCATCGGGGGGACCACCGGGAAGCTCCGCCGGCGCTCCGCCACCTCCCGGGGGAAGCTGGCCATGAAGCGCGGGCTGCGCTTCGCTCCGCTCGGCTTAGAGCGGCCGAACAACCCGCTGTACTGGCAGATCTCCCCCTTCCTCTCCCTGCACCACCACCACCACCACCACCCGCACTACAACGGATCCTCGCCCGGCTTCCTGAACCAGGCGGCGGGTTACGGGTCGCTGCTGCCCGCCGTGGAGCAGCTGAGTAACGGGGAGCTGGGGCGCTCCATGGCGCTGGGCCTGACGAACACTTACGGGATGAGCACGTCTCCGGTGGGGCTGCTGTCCGGACAGACCGCCGGGTATTTTGTCTCAGGGAGCCAACACGCTGCGGCACCGGGGCCACCGGGAGGAGGGACCCCGCCGCAGCCTCCGCCTCCCCCGCAGCATCTCCCGCATGGCGCGGCGGGGTTCGGCGGCTCCCCGCAGTCCCTGCTGTCGGACTCCCTCAGAAACGGCTCCTTACCGGCGTTCAGCCCGGGGGTGTCGGCGGGTTTCCCCGGGGTGCTGTCCCATCAGAAGAGGGTGACCCCCAACGCCTTCCTGAACTGACCCCCCCCTCCAGCCACCCTTTGGACTCTCAGTGGAAACAAAAGACGTCAGTAAAGGGCAGAAAATACGCGGTAAATATCAAACAATGAGCTGATTTATCGAAAATATATGAAGTGAAAATTTTTGGCCATATTCTGGTTCATTTGGTTTATTTTCTAGGAAAAGAAAAAAGGGACAAACTTTTGTTACCCGCGGGTGTAAAACTGTAAACTAGACTTGCCAAAGGTAACACTATAAGAATATTTCAAACTATTTATATCTTGTACAAAGATTTTCAGTACTTTTGTTTGACTTTATTATTTATGTTTTGTATTTATTGTACAATGTATTTAAATTTTATTCTCAGTGTATTTACTCATCAGTATTAATGAAAACGGGTGGGAGGGCTGGGATAATTATTATTTATTACGTTTGGAGACAATCACAACTTTTTTTTGCTTATTTGAAAAAAAAAACAATGTTTGAATAAGTTAATTATTATATAAAAAAAGCCTTAAAGTTATTAAACCAATCAGGGGATTTAGAGGAAAAAGAAGCCTAAAGATCATATCTGCACTCAGGTTTGACCCCAGACAGGCCTAATGATAGAGAAGAGTTTCCTAAATTAAAATAAGACATCTAATAATAATCATGATGCACTGCAAAAAATGGAAAGCTAAATAAGTATTTTTGTTGTTTAAATGAGGAATTGAGGAGCTAAATAAGACATTTTGCCAACAGAACAAAACAATTTACATTTAAAATAAGAAAAAACAACAAAAACTGTCTTATTTCAAATGCATATTATTCAAATATCTTACTTTTAGAGTAAAAATACTCATTCTATTGGCAAATCATCTTATTTACCTGCTCAAATTAAGGGTAAATACAATTAATTTAAGAAAATGTTACTTATTTCTAGATTGTTTTTTCATTGTAATAATCGCAGCTGCTCAAAAAGCGACTTTAAAGCCCAAACAGACCTGGAAAATTCAAGTTTTGGAACCAAACTCTTCATTTTAAAGTATGCAAAGTAAATACACGTATTATTTGGGATATGTTGAGCCTGATGTGTGTGTAAGTGTGTGTATGCAGGCCCTGCAGGAGCCCAACCCCCCCCCTCCATGCGCATGTGCGTAATAAGGCCGCAGCTTCCCCGCCATGATGGCGCTTCTCCAAGCCGCTGAACTGCTTCAGTTTCCCGCTGAACGCGCTCCGCTGCTCCGCGGAGGCCGCAAACAAGCCCGGCGGCTCATATTTACCTATAGAAATTAAAATATAGAGTAAAAAATAATAATAATATAAAAAAATGAATGAATCACACACTAAAATGGTTCAGTTTAGACTCGGTGTTTGTCCACCAGTCAAGTTTGTCTTTTTATTTTTTTCTTTAACGGGTTTTATTAATATTATTATTATTATTTTGCGAAAAGAACAATCATAAAAAAGTATAAAAGATCTCTGACAATCAACCGAACCGGGCCTTGTTTGGGTTCCGGCCTGCTGCAGATAAAAATATGCAATTTATTCCGCTTAGTTTTTACTATTCTGACTCAGATGCAAAAAGTTTATTTACAAACTCAGACTTTCAGAAAAGAAAACTACATTTTTTACACAATGTGTTTCATCTCAGTTGTTTTGATTTAATATATAGGTAATATAAAAAAATAAAAAACTCCTAGATTTGTACAATTATTTTCAATATTTTATTAAAATAGTAGTGAAGTGTAGCTAATTTACAACCTTAAACAAACTAAACAACAAACTAAACAACTTTCACACCACTGAGATTTTCCCTCACAGAAAAAAACAAATAAAACTTCCTCCTCTTCTGAAAATATATTTTTAAAATACATGGAAATATAAAAAAAAAAATGCTTTATTTTAATTGATTAATCCCCAAACAGAAGAATTAAATCAGGTTTGATTCCACTTAAAGTCAAATGTTAACCTTTGGTTAAAAAGCATGTCTTGTTTTCTGTAGAAAAAATGACATAGATCATAAAATGTGCTGCTTTGAAAATAGATAAACAAAGAAAAGCATCAACAATCAGTTCAGCTCTGACTGCAGAAACTTTGACCTCAGATTGAATTTCTTATTTTAAAGATATTTAAAGTTTCAGAAGCTTCAGACGATTATGCCACAGAGGAAGAAATGTTATTCTTTGCAGATTAAAAGTGAATTAAAAATAGATATAAATGATTTTTCTGGCTGCAGGAGTTTCGACAATCATGCTGAATATTTGGGTTTTTCTGCAGCTCAGGTTCTTCTCCACCTGGAAAACTGCTGGTTTGAGTCCCTCTGTTTTATTTTTATGGATAATCTTATGTAACCTCAGACTGAAACCAGGCTCATGTTTTCCTTACTGGTAAAAAAAAGGAAATAAAAGCACAAACAGTCCAGCAGGCCTGACTGAGGTTGATCCTGGACAACTTTTTCTCTTCATGTCACTTTTGTTTTCTTACATTTTGGGTTTGTAACAGAAATGTTTTGCAGATTTATTTGTTTTTCTTTGATTATTTTATTTTTTTGTTTTGCACTTTTGTAGTTAGAGTTCACCTGTATGAAGTCTGTACCGTCTGTTTTGTTACTGTTTGTTTTATTTTCCCAGAGAAACTAAAACTTGATTAAAAATAATAAAATAACCTGAAGCAGTTTCTGCCTGATGATGATAATGATGATAAAAATGTGATGTCATTTCAGCACAAAGTTATAATACTTCTATTCTTAGTTTTCTACAGTGTAAAAAATCTAAAAACATTTTTATGTTCCTTTTAATTTTTTAGCTCATGTTTGCTAAAGATACTGGTTT